TCTATAAACTCTATATGTCTTCATCAAATCCAACAAGTGCTTCACTTAATTCATCTTGAATGGTGTTGACTTGAATGTAGTTGACTTGAATCATCATCAAAATCATCTCTTGGAAATGTAGGGACATTTCCATCAATCTCCCCCTCATTGCTTTCAATCTCCCTCATTTTGATGATGATCAAGGAAACACCTGAAATGAATTAAAATGTTTGACTCTATATAGCCAGCTCAAGATTAACACAATATAATATGACACAGATTAGCACAAATTTGTATCAAGTGTCAGAGTCTCTTAATCTTCCCCTGAATATATTAATAACAAGACTCCCCCTAACTCATGAGCAAAGACTTCTCTTAACTCCCCTTGTTTAATTTAGAGATAGGAATGAATTTCACACAGATTTTAATTCATCAAAAAATCTCCCCCTGTTTCATTAATAATCATAAAAAATATTATAAGAGAAAAAAATATCCCCCTATTTCACACAAATTAATATCATCAAAATATCTCCCTATTTCATTGATAATTATGAAAAATATTGCAATAGAAATTGAGAACAAATTTGCACATATTAGTACATAAATCAAGGTAGAGAAGATAATGCATTACAAAGTGTCATAGAGAAGAACATCATATTAAGGAGGCAATATCTAAGATACCCAAGACAAATGAAGAGAGAGAAAGATAGGGGAATAGAATGATTGTATAGATAATGGAATGAAATGCAGTAGTTTCTCCCAATTGCAGTCTTCTTATTTAGACAACTTTCAAATTCAAATTCACTCATATTCTAGATTTCAAATTTCAAATTCAAATTGCAACAAATTTCAAATTCCAATTCAAATTCAATTTCAAAAATCTCAAACTGCAAAAATTTCAAATTTCAAAATCTCAAACTACAAAATTTCAAATTTCAAAAATCTCAAATTGCAAAATTTCAAATTTCAAAAATCTCATACTACAAATTTAAAAAAAGAAATCTCAAACTGCAAAATTTCAAATTTCAAAAATCTCAAACTGCAAAATTAAAAAAAAAATCTCAAACTGCAAAATTTCAAATTTCAAGAATCTCAAATCGCAAAATTTCAAATTTTCATAAATTCAAATTTTCAAAATTCAAACTTTCAAATTTCAAAGTTGGTCAACAATCAAATTTATGTGACAGATAAGTGCAGATATTCAATATAGAGGCTTGAGAGACAATCATAAACTTATCTTTATAATATTTCCCTGTTCATCTAGTTTGTTCCTGTACACCCATTTAGCTTCAATAACCTGCATTAATTTATTATCCTTCATAATTACCTGCAACATCAACATACAAATCTAGGTACCCTTTAATTATTTTTGGGTCCTTAAAAAGGTTAGTAGAATCACAAGTCTCTGCCAAAAGACTAAGGATTAAAATAATATAACCATGATATAATAATCGATTATCACAACACCTTCATAATCAACATAATTGATTATGACAACAAGAAAAAATTTCCGATTCTGATAATCAATTAGATGCTCAAACTATCATCTAGACATGTATAAATGCTTTGTTCCTTTAGGCACCCATTCATATTTGCCATTAGATATGCAAAAATGTTTTATGTAACATCTATTTGATGTATGACCTATTTTCATGCAATAAAAACATGTTGGTTTTCTTTGAAAAGGTCTAAATGAGTTTCTTAAAGTTTTTAAAACTGGTTTCACATCTTTTTTCCTTGACTTTTTCACAAAAATAGTTTTATGAGGTTCTAGACTTTCTTTAGGTTTGAAACCAAGTCCAGTTTTGCTAGAATTCCCTCTTTGATAACCTAATATAGAATCAAGATTTTCAGAAGATTTTGAAAACTTGCTTATTATTTTCTCTAACTTGAAAATCTCATTTTCCAAATGATTACAATTTTCACAAGGTTTAACAACTTCTTTATTTTTAGACAAAGTTTTAAATTTCTCAACATCTTTCTTTAAGCACTCATTTTCTTTTTCAAGAATACCAACATTATTTTCTAACGCATTAAACTTTTGTCTAAGTGTATTGTATTTCTTAGATAACTTGGTAAAACTTTCATTCATATCTTGATATTCTTTAAACAACTCATCATATTCATTTTATGATTTTGTACTACTTACCTGTGATGAAACTTCATCATCACTTTTTTTCATAAAGCAGAGATTTGCGTCCTCTTCTTCATCACTGCTTTCGAAGAACTCTCTTGTGTTGTGGAAGAATCATTATCCACTCGACCTCGTCCCCCGTCCCTGCGCACGACTTTATATTTAAATTTAAATTTTAAAATATTAATATTTTAAAAGTATTTTATTTTATTTTTCTATTACATATAATATTATTTTTTTATATTCCAAAATTTTTTACTTTTCTTCTACCCACTTTTTATATTTTTTGTCTTTTTTAATCTTTTATATTAATTAATTTTTTACATTATTTTGTTTCTCTTACTTTTTAGTTTTTCACATTTCTTTAATCTCTCAAATCAATTTATTTTATTTTTCAATCTTTTCAACCAATTTGAAGAACACAAAGTTAATTTTTTTTTCTTCTTTATCTTTTTCTAAATATTTTACATAAATCTTAATAGTAACTAATATTATTTTATTTATAATTTATATTTATTATGTTTTATTATATCATATTTTTTATATCTTATTATTCTTATTTGTCATATATCAAATTTTATCTTAATAAAATAATTATATTTTAAAGAATTAAAAAGAATTGATAATTTAAACTTTTATTACTTCCAACTAATTAAATAAGAATTAACTTATTAAATATTTTCTTATAAACTATATATTACATACTTTTAAATAACAACTTAAAAATGAATTAACTTATATATATAGTTAAATATTTGAATATAGTATAATAATAATAATATTATTATTATTATAAATATTAAGAATAGAGTTTATAATAATATTAATAATAATGTGATAAATATTCTATATATATATATATATATATATAAAATGATTAAATATTTCTTTTATATATGTTTTAATATAAATATAATAAATTAAAATATATATTTAACTAATAATAATTACAAATTATAAAATTATAAGTATTTATTTATACCTAAAAAATATATAGTAAAATTAATTTATTATAAATATAATTATTTTTTAAAAATAATATAGATTAGGGACAAGATGGAGGTGGAGAAACCCGAAACTTAACGGGATGGGGATGAAGACTTAATTTCTAAGTGCGGCGGGGATCGGGGACACGGACGTGTATGATTAAAAAAGTCGAGGACGAGATCGGAGAGACAAAACCCGTCCCCACCCGTTGCCATGTCAATTTGTAATATAATCCAACAAGTAATTCTAAAAATATAAAATATATTTACTTATTTATTTATTTACTACTTTTTAGTTTTTGAATATCAAATTATTGTTTGTTATATATTAAAAGTTATATTATATCATAATATAATTACATTATAACATAAACAATAATATGTTAAAAATAAATTATATATTTTTTAAAATAAGTAAAATGTTAAAAAGTAATTTATTGAATAAAAAATAAAGAATAATATTGAAAATAACAAAACCTACATAATATATTAAAAACTAATAGAATTATTTTTTAAATAAAATAATTATTATAATCTTTTAAAAATTACATTTTTAAAACAATTTAAATTTTTTACTATTTAATTAATATTTTTATTTTTAACTATTAATTAATTATAATTCATAATAAAATATAAAAAAATGACGATTAGAAATATATAAAAGCTAAAATATCAAAGAATTTTATACCAACTTAAAAACGAGATATACTTTAAATGAATATAAGTAAATAATTTTTTTTAAAAACAGTATAAATGATTTTATTTTTTTTAATTCTTTAATATTATTCATATTTGGATATATATATATATATATATATATATATATATATATATATATATATATATATATATATATATATATAAAATTACAAAAAAAAAAAAAAAAAAACGCCTTTCCCCCTGTAGAAAAAGAAAATGGAGAAATAAATAACTGACCTTTATTATAAACTCTTCCTCGATGTGGGGTTTTAATCTACCAATAAAAACTCACCGGCTTCTCGTTCATCATCAGATAACTTTCTGTTCCTTTTTTCCTTTCTCTCTCCTCTCTCATTCTTTCCACCTTCTCTCGTGAAAGTCTCAATACAGAGCAGCTTCTTCTTCTGTTATTGACTCGTGGCCACCACAGGGATTCTGTTCTGGATCTTATGGTAATAATCTCTGCACTTCTTGTTTTGCTCACCCCTTTCACTGTTCAACTGCTTCTTACTAGCTGCTTGGTCAATCAGATTCATGCGTTTCTGATGTTTTGATTTGTGGTCTGTGTCGACTGATTTCGTTACCCTTTTGATCTATCATTGAGAGGTTCCTGTTCATCTATTCATTTTATCCTCCATGCTGGAAGTTTTCTCTCTATCCTACCTTTCTGGTTTTGTGGGGGTTTATGAACTTGATTGTTCTCCTCATTAATTAAACTAGCTTTTCTGTTTTATCTGAAAGCTGCAACCTTTCATGATGGGTTGATGAGAGAATCATTTCAAATCATCATTTATTGTCTTTGTTTTTAAAGTCATCATCATTTATTGTCTGTGCGTACGTTGCTTTTGCTTCTCTCTTTGATTCCTTGATGAAATGGATCTGTTGAATCTGTATAGACCTGATCTATTAATTTTCATCAAGGATTTAAATTGTGGTGATGATCCATTCATAATATTTTTTAATTAATGTTTTTAGCCTGGATTCATGTCCTATGTTCATGATGGTTTTTGGCTCGGGGTTATATTTGCGTATTTCATGATGTGATTCTCTTCATCTTAAAGTATTTGGATTTTGTGTCATGCTGATTTTTCTTTGATCTTTGTTTTGTTACTGTTGGCAGGTGTAAAGGCCTTTAAAAGTTAGACTTTGTTAGTTCCATCATCAGAAGCTTACAGGTTGCATCCATATTTTTATCACGGAAAATGATGATGATGTTTGAGGAGATTGGATTTTGTAATGAGTTGGATACGATGTCTACTGTACTTGGGGAAGAGGATATCACCGCCCGGCAAACTGATCCAGAGGCGATAGTTGAGGATGATTTCAGTGATGAAGAAATTGGAGTAGAGGAACTTGAAAGGAGGATGTGGAAGGACAAAATGCGTCACAAGCGACTGAAGGAACAAAGTAAATCTAAGGAAGGAATTGATGCAGTGAAGCAAAGACAGTCGCAAGAACAGGCAAGAAGGAAAAAGATGTCCAGGGCTCAAGATGGAATCTTGAAGTACATGCTGAAGATGATGGAGGTTTGTAAGGCCCAAGGATTTGTTTATGGGATAATTCCGGAGAAGGGGAAACCAGTTACTGGAGCATCTGATAATCTGCGTGAATGGTGGAAGGATAAGGTCAGATTCGATCGAAATGGTCCAGCTGCCATAGCCAAGTACCAAGCTGATAACGCTATCCCTGGGAGGAATGATGGGTGCAATTCAATTGGTCCAACTCCACATACCTTGCAAGAGCTGCAGGACACAACGTTGGGTTCTCTCTTATCAGCACTCATGCAACACTGTGATCCTCCTCAGAGGCGGTTTCCCTTGGAAAAGGGTATTCCTCCACCATGGTGGCCTTCAGGAAATGAAGAGTGGTGGCCTCAAATTGGTTTACCTAAAGATCAAAGTCCCCCTCCTTACAAGAAACCCCATGACCTAAAGAAGGCATGGAAAGTTGGTGTTTTGACTGCAGTTATCAAGCATATGTCCCCAGATATTGCCAAAATTCGCAAGCTTGTGAGACAGTCTAAGTGCCTCCAAGATAAGATGACAGCCAAGGAGAGTGCAACCTGGCTGGCAATCATCAATCAAGAGGAGGCCTTGGCAAGAGAGCTTTACCCTGATTATATCCCTCCATTAGCCTCAGCTGGAGGTAGTGGATCTTTGGTTATCAATGATAGCAATGAGTATGATGTTGAAGGGCGTGAGGATGAGCCTAACTTTGATGTGGAAGACAGGAAACATGAGAATCTTCACACACCCAATCTTGGGATGGAGAGAATGAGGGGAACCGTGCCAGTTCAGCAGCCCTCTTTTTCAATCAAGGGAGAGGCTGTTACAAATTTGGATTTAATTAGGAAAAGGAAGGTTTCTAATGGCTTCAATATGGATGCGAAGAATTACACATGCGAACACCCTCAGTGCCCTTATAGTCAAGTTCGACTTGGTTTCCCTGACAGAATTTCTAGGGACAATCATCAGTTGATTTGTGCATATAGCGGTACTTCAGATTTTGGGGGTCCAAATTTTCATGTAAATGAGGTAAAGCCAGTCATATACCCCCAGTCCTTTGTTCAACCAAAGTCTACTACTCAGTCTGCTAACATGGTCCCGCCTGTAATTGATCTTACCGGACTTGAAGTTTCAGAAGATGGTCAGAAAATTATCAGTGACCTTATGACTAACTATGAAACAAATGTTCAAAACAACAAGAACTTAAGTTCGTGTAATCACATGGCTGCGGAGAATTCCTGCCTTCCTCAGCATGGCATGCAGCAGCAGTCACAGGACAACTTCATTCGTGGGCAAGGAATCACTATGGAAGGAAACATCTTTGATGAGCCCAACATGTCCAATAATCATCACATGTTTGCAAGAGAAGAAGGCCAATTTGACCGGTTCAAAGCAATGAATGCTCCCTTTGAGACCAATCACAACAACAATAACTTCAATTCAATTTTTGGGTCCTTTTGTGATTTGGCATCATTTGACTTCAAGGAGAACATGCAAGGAGTAGGGATGGATGCTCTTCAGAAACAACCAGATTTCTCAATATGGTACCAGTGAAGAGGACAACTGGATTCCAGATGCCCATTGTCTACATTACAAACTCTTACTTTCATGTGAAGTTCCTTCAGCTAAAAGTCTTACCGCAATTTTCTTCACATGTAATTCTATATGTCTAGAACTAGATGTTTTATGCTTATCCTTTACAGGTTTAGTATTTGTTACAATAAATAACTTACGTGTTCCCATTAAGTAGCCCCATGCTTGTGTGGTGTTTTTTATTTTCAGTCTAGCCTGCGTTACTTAAAATTACTATTCTATGTAAGACTGTGATATAAATAAGATTTATAGTTTCTTACAAATTTTAGTATTACCATATATAGAAACTAAAAATGTATGGCGGTGTGATCCAGTTGATGGTAAAGTTGTGGATAGGTGAAAGGTTTGTCCTTTATTGTGGCTTTTCCTTATGCTTATCCTTTCCCATGTGAAAATGGACCCCCAGAACAAGTCTTTGGTTGATGCCAAGTTGAATTCCATTTGGATTGCTTGTTCAGACTGTGTGGTGGGGCACACTATTTACATTTTTTATGTGTCATTGGTCAATTACTCATCGAGGGTTTTCATTATTCAACACCATTGAATGTGCTGTTCATGGGACAGGGAAAGGGTAATCTCATGAATTGGCCATGGCGGCTTAACATATGTTTTGGACCAGCTTTTCAACAATAAATTTTTAGGAATGAGTTTCTCAATAAAAAAAATAAAAACCGAAAATATATTAACTTTTTGTAAGTAAAAAGTTTATAAAATATAACTTGTATATAAATTAATGTGTAATTTTTAAATATTTTTATAATTTTATTTTTAATTTATGCATATGATAACTTAAAATTTTTATATATATTTTTAAGAAGTTTTTTTTTTGAAAAAATTTATTGTATTATGTTTTCTCGATTGATTTTTACTTTTTCATTCCTTATTTTAACTTTAATTTATAAAAAGTGTTTTTTATATTTTTAAGAAATTTTTATGATAGAATTTGTTCATTCATGTTTTCTCTACCCACTTTACCTTTTTTACAGTTAAAATTTTCATGCCTTCAATATTTTTATCAAACTTACTTTTCTTTGTTATTGGGGCAATTGTCTGGTAGAAAATAAGTGCGTTTAGAATGGCACCAAGTGGCGTGAAATTTAGTGAATAAACTTTATTTGTTGAAAATGTGATGAGGATAATAGTAGCACGTATTGAAAAAAATTGTGAATGGTTAAATGAAAGAGACCCTGGGTTGACTTAAACAGGATGTTTGGTAGGAAGAAAAGCATATTGAAACTTCACCATTTATTTCAACAAAATTTCGTGTCCCTGACCAGTACAAAATTATTTGACCCATTAATTGTATTTATCAAACCAAATCTATTAAAGATAATATTTTAATTTATTTGTTATTAATTATTTTTATTTTATTATAATATTTTATATTAATTAATATTTTATGGATTATTAGTTATTATACCCGAGTCTATTCTATTGAATACTATATAAAGAATCCAAGTAGTAAATTTTACCTCATAATTCATTTTCATATATATCAATTATCTCTTGTCTAAAAGTTGACTTGAGCGTCAGATTACCTTTTGCAGGTGAGTTTTTGCACTTTCTTAGAGATTGTCTTCAAAGTTGGTTCGAAGATCGGTCAACTGACTTCATCTTTTTGTCTTGCCAATCATCTTCAGCTTAATAAGAACATTTGTGAGGTCCGGTAAAATGTCCCGCACGATCTCTCGTCCTATGATTCTAACTGATAGCCAGACGGTCTTCAACTCCAACAACATGAATTCCTTAGTTGTCATTGACAACCTTAAGAAACACATGGACAGAATTTGCAAAAGCTACTTTGTTAGATAAATGACATCTAGAAGGAGGTGAATAAATGCACAAATTAAAATAGATGCCAAATTAAAAATTTATTTTAAGATGTCCAATATTTATTAATTCAAATTTAATTATCAAATTGAACAAAGATAAAGCGGAAACAATATAATCAGAGAGATAAAATATCAACAAGATACAGAAAGATAGAGATAAAAATAAGGGGTGTAAGAAGAGTAATGTAGTGAAAAAGAGATAAGAGAAAGAGAAAAGCACACAGTGATTTATACTGGTCTGGGTATAGCTAATCCTACATCCAGTTCCCAGTCAACTCTTAACATAAGAGTGACCCCAATTCACTATCTTTTAAATTTTGTTTACAAATTACAATAAACTCAACAAAAAGCAAACTAATTCAAAAGACAATCACCTCCTTAGAAACCCACTAAGGACGAACACCTCCCTAGAATCCAACTAGGGATGAACACCTCCTCTAAACGAATCAAAGGATGAAAACACCTCCTTAGAATCCCATTAAGGATGAACACCTCCCTAAAATTCCACTAGAGATGAATACCTCCCAAGAATTCCACTAGGGAAGAACACCTCTTTTGAACAAATCAAAGGATGAAAACACCTTCCTGAACAAATCAAAGAGATGAACAGTTTCCACACAAGAAACCCTAAAAAAAACACAACAGAATGACAATGACTACTTAAATCCTAAATAGGAAATTTAACAATCAACCACTTAAGCCCACAAAGGATGAAGGTAATAAAATAAGAACAGTCACACATGGGTAATGGAGATAACAAATTGTATAAGCTTGTAGAATGCCAACCTCTAAGAACAAGTGTGATAAACAATGAAAACACAATAGGCAATGGAGAAGAGGGTTTTGGTAAAATATCTATGTTGCCTTGCTCAGAAAAAAACTGATTGAATGTAAATTGTATTTTTGAATTCTGTAATCCTGTGTTTTTTATTTTCCATCAAAACTTAATTAAATAGAAAAATAGCATCAGAAAATGGTCGTTGGACATTAATATTTTCGTGGATAAAAATCAGGATATATTAAAAAATATTTATTCTTCAAAACAGATATATTTTTGAATTTCAAACTGCCATAATCAATTATCTCCTCAGCATAATCGATTATGTCCGGGTAGAAATCAATTTTTTAATTCTGATGCATCATAATCAATTATGACAGTGAAAAATGTCATGTTACGAAATTTTATCATACTTGTGCTTTGGAGACTTATGCATAATATTACTTCATCAACTTGTACCTCCATATCCAGTATTCTAAGACTCTATCTAGTCTTCAAGAATCATCTTGGGCTTGCTTGATGTTTGAATAAAATCTTTATCAAATCATATCTTGGGTTTGCTTGAGTCTTGAATGTTTTTGACTTGAATCATCATCAAAATCATCTCTTGGGAATGTAGGGACATGTTTCACATTGTCATCAATCTCCCCCTCATTGCTTTCATACTTCAGATCCAACGGAAGACAATGGAAGAATTGGAGGCAGTTCGGAGACAACATTAAGCAAATAAAAAAAAGGCAGCCGACAGTTTAGAAACAATATCAAGGAATACAAAAAAAGGCGGTCGACGAACTGTGGTTGATCAAGAAACAACATCAGACCGAGTTCTAGAGTGCGTAAATAAATGAAAACACTACTTCAACGACCACAAATGACTAGGTCGAAAGCACACAAAGAAGGAGTCATAACATTGGACCAACCCCGTACCGAATAATTCCTAGCTCCAACAAACAAAACATGTCCAAAAGTCGAAGGTCTGAAATAAGCTAAAAGTCTAGTCCAAAGATCGAAAATTCCATCAAGACCGAGTGGTAGGATGCGAGCTCAAAGAAAATAGACCACTCGAGGGAACATGAAAGAGCGAACACACTAATGAGGCAACAACTCGGCTCTCCCCTTTGAAAGAGCCTACCGTACAAGCTCCGGTCCATGTTCAAGCCACACGTACTAAAAAAAATGAAACCCAAGAGAAGACAATGACCACCCATTCATCCAAAGAATCATAGAAATTCCCCTCCAACCTAATTAGGAGCCTTTGGATAAAGAAAAATATGACGAGACGATGAATCTTGAAGATGTTGGTATTGCGCAGCGGAATGTTTGCATGTAGGACAAAAACCAAGAGGGGGGTGAATTGGTTTCTTATAAAAATTAGGGTTTTAAAATTTTTTCCCAAATTTCATAGATTAAAATGCTTCTAAAGTAAAGAGATAAGGGAAAGAAGATTACACAAGTAATTTATACTGGTTCGGATCAAAAGACCCTACGTCCAGTTGTTAATCACTCTAAAAGAGGATTAACGCTGTCACTATAATCACAGTTTAAAATAGATTACAAATTACAAAAGATAAGGATTAGAAAACACTTCTCTTGAGTCACACAAGAGAAGAACTGTAACATCCTGATTCTCAATACCCCTGGTTTGTTAAATTTTGACAAAATCTTTGTCAAAATTTTAATAATTAAATTATTAGGAATTGGGTAAAGGAACTGTAGAGTTTTATGTTTGTTAGATTATTTGTGATTTTCTAGAATTTTTCTCGGAATTTTTAGAAAATACTTAAAATTGATC